TAAAGTTTACACTTAATTAACAATGCTCACAGTTTTTAATTATACCCATTTTTAACAGTGTAGAGGTATGGCCCCTGTTTCTCTATAGTCCATGTGACAGGCAGATATTCATTACCAATTTGATGAATTGGTTTAACTATGATTTTCAGTTAGCCTTAGGTCTAAAGTGTCCAAAATTGGTTGATGGACTTCCGGGTCACTTTGCCAAATGTCAGTTTGGCGTCCATCTTTAAAAATGGCCGCCGTTTTTTTCTTATTTGAAATAGTACGAGTCGGGGAAGCCTTCATAACTCCTCAACAGTTTCACCTATATAAAATAGCTCAAAATGTTCATAATATTATTCTGCATCTGCTGGTATATGATATATGTTGTTTAATCAATACTATCAGTTTTAAAATAAAAGATTAATCTGAAAAAAAGCAACATTTTCGATTTTATTTCATGTCTGTTCATAAGTTTACTAACAAATCATGTCCATACCCATATAAGCCAAATTATCTATTTGGTCAACTAAAGTGATTTAATAGATATCAGAATCATTGATCATAAAAAATTCAAAATGGCGACCAAATTTCCTAAAACGGCCAATTTGTCAGATAATAGTCATTTCATTGTTTGATATGAGATCTACTATCCAATTGAAAGAATGCTCAGTGTTGCTGAGCTTATAATTAAAGATACATTACGCAAGATTTAGATAAAGAGCTAGCCATTCTTGATACAATAGTTCGAAAATAGATAATGTAAAGTGAATAATTTGACAATTTCATTCAACTGAGTCTATAGCGAGCGAAGATATTAGCCTTTGAAGGTTTGACAAGACGCGTGCAATAATTTCAACCACATTTAGATTAAATCAAAATATGGCCGAACCGTTCTAATCTATTTAATATCGGAGAAATCTAATGCCACCGAGAGTTGATTATGGCCTGGATCAGTTAATTAATGTCTAATTAATAATTTGGAAAACATTTCAGGCCTAAAGAAAGGCCCGCAATAGGCAGATTTAGCTCTTGCGGCCAGAATTGCCATAACATGAATGAATTTTTAGAAAATCGTAAATTTTCTGTTTTATATAACTTATAATATCTCTTTTATAAGGTTTTCCGGGTCACTGAACTTGAATAAAAACTCAAAAAATAATGCCGAAAATGATGTTAATAATAATGCTAAAAATGACACATCTTATCCGCCATCCTCCCCACCCCATATACAATACAATGGGGCATATAGAATTGACTATTCTGGACCTCACAGATCACAAGACATTTCACCAAAATAGTGAGGCATTTTAATTTCATCTCCTATGCCTTTGCACTATTTTTAGACGTATTGAGAATTATTTTTGATATATCCAGTTGTTAAGAATTTAAGTTCTCTTATTCGTTCAGAAATGGTAATGTGGTCCGTTTTAACATTAAAGACTCTTGTCGTATACATGTAGTTTAGTGGGTCTGCAGCCAAACTTTTTAGCTTGCTTAGAAACACAGTTCCGCTACAAACTATACAGTTTTGGAAAGCTTATAACATCAGAAACACAAATCCAAGCAAAATGTTTTAATTGTGATAATTGTCAAGTAAATGCTAAATTTATACTGACAATTCTGAAGTTGACATAAAATTACACATATGATACCTTATCTTTGCTCCGTGAGGTGAACGACAGGGTTCTCTCCAACCAGACTCGAAATTTCTTTTGAAAGAACTGACTGTAAATGGTCCATAGGCGTACGAGCCAGGGGGGGGGGGGGGGCAGCTGCCCCCCTAACTTTCGGGCAAGCTGACTTTTCGGGCAGACGGGTAAAGTGAAAAAAAATTTTTTATTTCATCTACTTGACAAAATAAAGTGCCCAAAATCTAATAAAACACTAATTTTATGGGCTGGAATAGCAGGAAAACGCGTTTGCGGCTGTCAAATATTCCAAAATTTTCTTGGGGGGTCCATACAAGGTCAGTTCTGCTTCTTCACCTATTGAAGAAAACCGGCCCCGCTGTCTGTAAACCCGAAATTTTTTCGGGCATTTTTAATTTTGCTTCCCTTACTGTAATCGAGCCCTAATATAACACTAATTTTACTTTTCTTTTAATTGAATACCACGAATTTGTACTGAGTTGACTATGGATTAAAACATATTGTCTGGAGCCACTCTACTTTGTGCGACATTTTTCGGGCATCGATTATTATTTGTGAATGCAGCTGCAACAGTCTGATTGGATGGTTGGGATTCAGAGTGGGATTTCGGTTACAAAACCATTGGATACTTTTGGAGTTTACACAGGCTAGAATAGCAGTAAACGCATTTGCGGTGGTTAAATTTTCAAAATTTTCTCCGGAAGGGTATAACCCCGAACCCAGCGACGATTGATTGGTTGTTTGGAATTCCAGTCAGCCAGCTGGGCTATATTGCACCAAATTGAAGTTGCTGTATTCACAGGCTGGAAAAGCAGGAAAACGCGTTTGCGGCAGTTAAAATTTCAAAATTTCCCCCCAACGGTCCCGTCTTCGTGGACTGTAAACGATAGATTGGAATTCGAGTCAGCCACCTTAATAAGGCTATATTAGACCACTTTGAAGTTACTTGTCACGGGCTGAAATAGCAGGAAAACGTGTTTGCAGCCGTCAAATATTCCAAAATTTTCTTTTGAGGGTGGGGGATAGGAGGGGGGGGGGGGGGGCAAGGTAAGCTCCGCTCTCTTCGCCTGTAAAGGAAGACTGGCGCTCTCTGTAAACCCGAAATTTTTTCGGGCATTTCGGGTTCTGCCCCCCCCCCCCCCTAACTGTCATCGAGTCCGTACGCCTATGAATGGTGCTTTCTAGAGCATATCCTGGTGTTTTTAGCTTATGCATATGTCTTAATAATTCATCAAAAACGACGTAAATTCATGACTACGCAAGAACGTTGACTATTTTATTGACCCCCGAAACAATCATACTCCTTTTGAGTGTCCATCCCTTAAAAGGGAGGCGAAAGGTATGATGTTAAAACGGGTTTCAAATTCCCGCATTACTCGAATACTTTAATTATCAGTAAAAATACGCCATATAAAATGATAATTCGTATATTATTTTACAGTTATATAAAAAAAAAATGTTTCCTTTTTATCAAATGAACAATTTATTGTTAGGTCATGTAGAAAGATATGGTGCTTAAACGTGTTGCAAATTTCCGTATTACATGGTAGAATGAATAACTTAAGAAGACCACACACATGATTTGGCTAAAATTACTCTGAACCTGATTTGGTAGTAAACTTATAAAATAAATCATAAAAACTTGACAAAAAAAATGCCAAAAGGTTGCTTTTTCCAGAATAATCTGTTGATTTGGAAAATATATGATTTATTCAACAACAAGTATCATACAGCAGCAGATGTAGCATTTTCTTGCGAATATTGTGAGCCACATTCCATATCCATAGGTCGATCTGTTCGGGTTGGATGGCCGCCAAAATGGAATTTAGCAAAGTGACCAAATTTCAACACTTCAGCCACCTGGGCCGCCTTCGGCTCGTCCAAATGTTCAACCATAGTTCAACTAGGTCTCAACCATGCGCACCCGAACTTGAAATAGTTAGACTATGTCGCGACCATGATCAACCCACCTTTCGAGGTCGGTTGAGGCTGGTCAAGTCAGATTAAAAATGCGGCCCGCGACAAAACATATGTTGTGTTGGAATTGTTATTTGAAGATAGAACGTATACTACCAATGTTGCCCCAGAACCTGGGACTTATTTAAATTCATATAACATATTAAATGTTATATTAATTTTAAGTAGTTTCGAGATTATATAGGCCTAATATAGAGTGGATAATCCTGTTTTGTCAATTAATTCGACCAAGGCTGGTGTCAGACTGAAATTGTGAAAGTGACAGTATTATAGTAAAAATATTTCATCCATTTGTGAATTTTATTTGGAAAAACAGTAACACAAACAAACGATTTTGTTCATTAAATACAAGAGTTTGATATACATTGTAAATATGAATTATGTAACTGTAAATAAACTCAGGATATTTGGTTGATTTGTTTATTTTATTGTCTAGGAATAACTCGGTCACTAACTCAACTGTGAGTAGATTTCTTGAAATCGTCGTTATCATATTCTGCTTCTAGTACAGCTTTTTGAGCATAGTTAGAAACTTTGCCTCCAAAGAATAATGTAGTCATATCAAAGTTTTCATTAAGCAAACTTGCGTTTTCGTTAAATAATTAAGGTTTTGTAGCAGTTCATTGAAGAGAACGGCGTCCATTTTGACGACTATGGTCGACCTAGCTTCCGTTCGGGTGTAGTGAACTATACTCTGCCGTATAGTCGTGACCATACAAGCGCACTCGAAGGCTGTCCAGGCTAACTGAAAATCATGGTTGAATTTATTCATCAAATTGGTAATGATGCTCCAAAATCCCAGGTCTGTCACATGAACTACTATCATCAAAAGTTATCTGCCGATCTGTATGAAATTTATATGCGTCATTTAAATTAGTAAAAAGAAAAATCTGTATGGAATTTATGTGCATTATATAAATTAGTAAAACGAAGAGGCAAATTGTATTTCAGCAATTTCCGTTAATTACTTCTAGAGCTATGACCCTTGTGAACGCTCTAACGACAATACTTATCATCCGATCTTCTACAGTAATATTGCCCTTGTCGAACCTTATGAATATTCGATCTGTATATGAAATTGATATCAGTTTCTTGTAAATGCTTATATTACCTACAAAAACATAAATACGTGACAACCCTTGTCGACTGCCCGGGCGATTTAGCTGCCGTGGCGTATGTTTTGTTGCCTGACAACCTATCTTAATAAAATGAAATGGGGTTCAACGTCCTACTGTACTGCACCGACTGGAAAAAAACTTAGAAAAATCAAATGACAATCCCAGTCATTAACTTGGGTCCCCAACATCTGTTACTCCAAAAGAATATGCATCAATGAATTATCAATCCTGAATTTAATAGATTTATCTACCATGCACTTCTGTTGAGTTAGGTAAGTAGTTAAGCTAAAAGAATTCAACTGGTGTTTTGTTGGGGTTTTTTAAATGATAGGATATACTACTACATAACAGCAAACCAAAATTTTATTTCAAAATAGAGTTTAAGACCACACACAACAAAAGTCAACATGGGCACACTCATATTGATACAAAATAAATTCAAATAATTAGAATTATTTACATTTACATATTTACATTTCATGTTTACTTTACTTTTATTGATTTCATGTTGCCATCTTGATAAATAAAGTAATAATAATTATTTTCTTTACAAGCCAACAGATTCTTATTTCTTTACTGAAATGTGCTTAATGATATTAAAATAATGCAGATTTCTTACTTTTCCGACCATTGTGATTCACCTGGCACGTTAAAGGTTTTTCTTTCTAAAATTGCTTAAAAAGAATATTTTCAAATATGTTTTCAAAAATAACCTTTTCTTGAAGAATTGTTGATTTGTATAAACAATATTGGTATTGTTACATTTAGTTCAAGTATTAGGCCAAAAACATATTTTCTTGTATACAAAAGTTATATAATCACATACGATATCGATTTTCTTAAAGTGGCATTACTTATGTAACATATAGTTGGTGGCGTTTAAATGTTGTAAATTGCAATTGTGTTGTAATAAAGTAAAGATGAGATGGCCTTATTGAACTTTTTGTTAGAATTACCTGTACAGAATTATGTTAATATACCTTTCAGGCCTTGACAACCCTTCTCTCCGGAACTAGGAAAAGCCTTCAGCCATTGCTAACCGCGGTGGGGGCGTTTGCATTCAATCATAAGGTCTGTCATTGACTCAAGTAGCATGGTTTGGATTCCTCGCTTGTACGTGACAAGTATTTGGGTCGACTGTTCAATCTCTGAGTTTTCTTTGGCTTACCCGGTTTCCTCTCAGAGATAAGGACCCCAACGCGCAACCGAATTATTGATATAACATTGAACCATATACTAGTCCCGAAATGACATAGTTTGTGTCTAGTGGACGTTAATTCCCGTCTCCCTGTCTCTGTAATGCTGACCCCCAAATATCATTTAAAATTTGAAGCATTTTAGATTGGTCAAAGTCGACTGGTTGATACAAATCCAACGCTGCATGTAGTTAGATATCTAACCAGAACCAACATACAACTCAAAATAAAATCACAGGATTGGAAATTTAAGAAAATAGAACAGGGTAGGTATGGACGTCATTTAAACCTGAAACGGGGTTTATTTTATAATTAACGCCCTTCTTTTCTGCACCAAAAAGGATGATGAACACGGGCATACTATGGGAAATTTTGTCCGGTCAGCGGTCTATTCTTATTTCGAATTCCATTATTGTCACGGTTTCTTTTACGTACACTGTTTTCCGTCGCATCCGAAGGACTAGGCGCTGTTCTGCGCCCGTCTTACGCCACTGCAACTACGCATGGAACTTTCTCGGTTAGTGAGCTAGTGACTTATATCTCTATCACGTCATTTCAAGCTTAAACATCACTATACCATTTGCAGTATATGATGCTCCTATATCATATTGTAGTTCTGAACTTCCCGACGTCAAAAATATACCAACAATAGTGTTAAATTCATTTCTTTTCCATGCAGTTCATTTTGATGTTTTTACTTTTGGCGAAACACGCTTCTATGGAAACATGTAGCTTGCAAAGTTGTCCCTTTTGGGGAAGCTATACTCTCCGTACAATGGAATTTTTAACAGCTTAGCAGATATTGATACAAATATAAACCTAACTGATATTCGGGGGCCGCTGTCGTTCGGTGATTAAAACTTTGGCTGCTAACCTGGAGGTCCAGTGTTCCACCCTTGTGCTGGCCGAGAAAGTTAGGGATTTCCGGTGTGGTTCCCTCTTGTAAGTGGTGGAGGGCAGATGGAACGAAAAACCGAGATCCCGTGTACACATTGGCGTCTACGTAAATGAACCCTTGACAGTTGGAATTCGATATAAGAGTAGGCCGTAGTTCCGCTGTCAGGGCAAAATTCCCCCTGTAATACTCTGTATGACGTATACCCGTCTTCATTAGCCCAGTCGGTGTAGGGCATTAAATTCAGTTTCATTTTTTTTCTGACTGATACTCAGATTTGGGAAATAATACGTAAACTTTATCAGAACAACACGCTATTAGCATACACGGTTAGCATGATACTCGTCATGCGCTATGTGCAAATGATGAAAAAAAAAATGTAGACTTCCTTCAAATATTGTTGTGTCATGGACTAACAAATTCCTTTTAAAACTTGAAATATATTACCCACCCAGAGACCCCCCAGCCAAAAATCCTGCAGTTGAAGTAGTAATGATCAAGATATATAATCTTAGCATAAACGTGTCAAAGACTTTAGAAATATCCTTCCAATCAAAGTCATCTTCTGGCTCTACCCATGATGAACTTTTCAGTTTAAGTTGGGTCTGCTCCCTCTTCAGATACATATCTCGTTTTATGGTAGATCCAACGGGCTGTTTGTCAGTCGGCTGATTTTCAGAGAGCTCGTATGGGACAACGTTACTTCTTTCTGTACATTTCTTATAGCAGACGAGGCGACCCAGTATGTTCCTGAATAGGAACCTGAGACAAAAGGGAATGGGTTCATCATTCTCTCTAAAATGAAAGCCAAGCACCATAGTACTAAATATTACTGCCATGGCGCCTAATATCAAAACTACAGAGAAATACACAACTGAAATAGAAAAATATAACAGGTGAAGTATTCATTTCCGTCTTATACAACGAGTATATTTTTGTGCGACATCGTCTTATTTCAAGAAGGCAAGCAATGTATTATTTGAAATTGTACAGACTATCACACCCTACCCGCAAGGAAGTAAATATATATAAAAGCCAATCTGATTTCGTTTCTTTTGTTATAGTTCAAAATGTCGTTTTATTTGATAGTACTACACTAGGATCTGGAAGAGTTGTTATATAACCTGCGTTCTGGATGGCGGGAGGGATTAACCAACGAAACCATCTGTTACGGCGACTTCTTGGCGTGCGATGCACGGAACTGTGGGTAAACCACTTGAAACGTCAGCACTGATAGATTAACCAATATCTGACGCCATGGGGACAAAAGCCGTTCGTACGACCTCTGATGCGACCTTTTACTACAACCGGTCAGCTCTTCATGTAGTGTAGGCCATCGAAAGTATAAAAAAAAAAAACGAAACGAAATATAGATCTGTATTTTCATCAGATTGAATATAATTCTACCTGTGTCTTTTTGTTTGTATCCTATTCTTTATGCCTTTAAATTGTACAACAATTTAGAAATGTTTTTATAGATTTTGTGCACCCGGGGAAATGAATAAAATCATGCTAAATCATAAACATAATGCTGAACCCATGTTAAACATATACCATGTAGTTATGCCACATGACTCAAACATGTTTAACACCGCCGAAAATACATCGGCGTTTTGGAGAGAGAGATAATTTGTCGGTGAAAGATGCCTGTCAGAACCAATGATCATTCGTCGTTGATGGTGAATTATCGCCGACAAATAATCCTTGGTATTTTTATACGCCCACAATTTCATATGGAAGTATATTGTTGTCGCCCCTGTCCGTCGGCCTACAATTTGTTTGTGTACACTCTACAGGTCACAATTTTTATCCGATTTTGACGAAACTTGAAATCTAGGTTTATCTCCAAAAGATCTCGGTTCCTGTCGATATGGGGCATGTGTTGGTTAGAAACTTCATGGATTATGGCCCCTGATTCTACGAAAAATAACCTTTTTAGCTTGTGGACACATATAGAGGTCACAATTTTTATCCGTTTTAGATGAAACTTGAAATTTATGTTTATAACCCAAAGATCTTGCTTTCTATCGATATTTGCGCATATTGAACCGCAACTTCCTGGATAATGGCCCCTGATTGTACGAAAAATCGCGTTTTTAGTCCGTGGTCACTCTAGAGGTCACAATTTTTATCCGATTTTCAAAAACATACAAATATTTCACCGTTACACCATAATGACGGTTATGTACAAATTCTGTGAAAATCGGACCGAAACTGCCGGACAGAATGGTCACTCCTCGTATGCAAATAGTGTAAAAGTATGGTATATCATGGTTGTAGACCCTCTGGATGAATATCATATACATCATATCAAGGTTGTGGACCCTCTAGAGTTCACAATTTTGATTCGCTTTTGATGAAACTTGAAACTGCCTGACAAAATGGCCGCTCCTCGTACACAAGTTTGTTTTAAACACAAATGATCAACGCCCAGAAAGGTTTACGAATATGACAGTGTCAATATTATTATAAACCTTGGTCGGAGAAACCCTAGATCTGGAGACCCTAAGGTAAATCCGACAGACCGACACTGTGCGTGTAGATGGAATCTATACATACAAACCCGATCCCGATCAGTCCCGATTCCAATTTGGTACACACGTTGTCCTTTATGTTGTTGGATTTTCACGCAAATCAGATTGATTGTTCCACTAACAGGCCTGATAACTAATCCAATTTAAAATTTTTTAAAAAAAATCCAAGTACATCTAAGGGGTGGGGGTGGGGAGCAACCCTAGCGTGTCTTTTAAAAGGTGATAAAGGGGCGAGGGTCTAGTCAGCATTCGGAACTATTGTTGCCTCTGTATCAGGAGATCAAGCCCACGATTGTTATAGAGATGACGACAGATCGCTTTCTTCCCAAACCAGAACTTCTTACTCATAAACGGAAGAAGACAACTCGAACAGAATTCTCCGTCCCTCATGATATAGTGTCTTCTCCAAAGTTAGTTTCCATGGCAGCTAGAATGAGGATGACTACCAAAACGTTTATACGAGATATAGGAGGGGATGCATCAAAAGCTAGTACTTCTTATTCTCAGAGGGACCAGTGCAGGAGAATAATAGTGGGTGGTGAAGTAACGGGAAGTGTCAGGGAGTTGCGGATGCCGACAAAGTTCGCATCACTCCGCTGCACGAGGATTGGAAACAATTACCTACTCTAACAGCAATGGGCTGATAAAGTTGTGAGTATAGCCTTTGACAACGTCAGCGAACATCGGGCATGTTAGCGCAGCTTGTGTCAGCATCCAGGACATACTCAACAGACCATTACTCTCGTGATAAAATAGAAATGGACGAAAATAATGTAAATATTGGAAACAAGTGGCTATGATATCGTTTTGTGGGAGTATTTATGCAAATCAAAACGACTAGATTGAAGAAAAAACACATCTGAGTGAATCGACAGAGGTTTGATTGCCAGACATTACGAATTGTTGAAAAAAAAACCGAGCCGAAGCGAGAGCAGGTAAAATCGAGTCTTCAACAGGCATTGGATTACTGTTCTTTTTTATTATATATTGTCCGGTTGGACATGGTGTATGCATATATATATATACGGATAGAAGGTCAGACTCCTGTGTTAAAACCAAGTCAATGTCTGATATGTCGTGATTTTAAGAAACATTGAGGATATGTCATTTGGTTGACACTTGTAATATTTTGCATATGTTGGATTAGCTGATTATTATTCAAGTGGACGGTTGCCCCCCACCCACCAAAACATACTTTGGTTCTTTTCTTAATTTTGCATGTTTAGTGTACTATAATATTGGAACACTCTGGGCAATCTACATCTACAATTGGTTGAAAATTTAAAACTCATGGGGCAACGTGTGCACCCTGCTCTCCTAACTTGTCCCAATATTTGAAACTTTACAGAGTTCACTCCCTTGTATAATATTATCAGGATACGGATCACTAATGATTTCCCCATTGACTTTAATGTTAATTTTCGTCTCTTAGACCGACTCTAACCTTTTCCAACATTTTTCGTTTGGTAGAACGCTTTCTGCCACAACTGGGGCAACATGTGGCAACCTATTTCCCAAAAGCACGTATGAGGTTCTTCATGAAAAACCTAAGATAGACAAGTAGAGATAAAACAAAACATGCAATTTTCGGCCCTACATTTCAACCTAACCAGCCTCTCAACTCTTATATCCTTCCGCCTCAAAGTCATGAATATTCACCAAAACCTAGCAGAAAATGTATTTTCAAAACCCCTTTTCTTCGATTCTACAACAAAAAGTCAACAAAAATCGCCATGCAAAAGGAGGAAAATGGAAATGGAGAGAAATACTAAAAATACCTTTCGCCCTACATTCGGCGTAGGAATAGTTGGTGACGGCGTAGAAATATTTGGTGAGCTGTGTCCATGCTTCAGTAGTCTCGGTCACCCAGATCTCTTAGTCTTCAAACGCACGGAGGGCCTGTGACCGTTGTCAATATTTGAAAAAAAAGTCCTTTGTCCATGCGTAACCAGGAGTTTTTTTTTATGTAGTTGATTATCCTGTATATTTGACCAAGTCAAGTAAGGGTTGCGCTCCTTCCCGAAATAAATCCCACAATTCATGCATTATTGTAAACGAACATGAATCGTGACAACGAATTGGGATTAATAAAAAAAATGGCCCATAAAGAGTGGAATTAAAAATATATAAGAGTGTTGGATATTGAACTGGCAGGATTGACTTCGCTTCGAATATTAGTCTGGACGAAATAGATTCGTTGGAATTAACTGTCTGTCTGGCTGTATACCCACAAACAATGATTTATTATATGAAATGATTCTTAAGCCACCTTTACACCGCGGAGAAAAGGTTTACACCACAGAGAATAGGTTTACACCGCGGAGAAATGGTTTTTCATGTATTTTTGATGTATCGTAGTTTTCACTACGATTTCTCATATGAGGTAAATTACAAGAAAAAAGCATAAATCAACGTATGACAATAAAAGGCTACCGTACATATCAGCTACCCAGCTTTAATTTGCTTCTGGTATCTTAATCCAAACCATCGCCCTATTTAACTAATATAATGCACGAGGCAAGGTACCCCTTCTCAAGAGAGAGAGAGAGAGAGAGATACATACCCACAATAGATGTACTGGTTGAGGTTGATGGTATCTTATCCGATATTAATGTTAACAGTACAGCAAACGAAAGAAGCGTAGTTAAGGAATAGCCCATTTTTTCTCCAGACTCCGCAGGAAGGGCGAAAACCAGAGCTGTTAACACCGAATTTACAATGACAGGCAACAGCATATTTAGCCAATAATATTGAGATTTTCTGCGTAATTTGAAGCAGAACAGAAGTTGTCCATACTCATCATTTTTAGCATCCGTGCTCTGGTCCACTTTGGTCTCATTGTCAATTAAATCCCATTCGCCATTTTCTTGGAATTCCATAAGGTTGATTCCCAGATCTAAAGCAGATACGTTCAGTTCCAGTAAAGAGTAACCCCAACTCTGGATAGTTAAATGGCAAGTCTGCGTATCGAAGGGATAATAAGTAATATCCGGCGTACAGCTGACTTTATATATTCCAGGAGGCTCCCAAGTTATCCTTCCATTGTTTGAGATCCTTAGCGGAGTATACTCATCTTCGATAACTTCAAATTGTTTAACCCTAAAAGAAATAAAGAAATTTATTCGTAATAGAACTCAACGGGATCGGTAATAAATAAATTAAAAAATACATGAATATTACAGATACATTCCCGCGTACAAACTGGGTGATTTGATGATATAGTCGGACTAAAAACATATTCAAACTAAATAATCTATCAAAATTTTGATTCAAATCCTTCTCAAAACATTGTATTCGAGTGGGAATACCCCTGTTATAAAAAGTCCATTAAAAAGAGGTCACGTTTGTGTCACATGACTTGGCTGACGCACTACCTAGCAACGCGTGCGAAGCCGGAGGAGAATTCATTGCATATACCAGGCGATGTTGTCATTTATCGATGTCCATTTATCATAAATATCAAAGCCTAATTAAATTCTCGGATTATCCACTCTCCACGTCTTTTTCCGTGTGTTTTATTTCAGAAACTGCTGTGCGTTTCAGCTCACAATCAAGTTTGTAATATATACATCAAGCGCTCACTAACGCTGAGAGATTAGATAATCTTCGCGTGCAACCTTTGAAGTCACTCGAGCAGTCATCCCTAATTGTCGGGTTGCCGGTTAGGGAAACCCTTACATATATTGTCCTGTATTGAATGTTTCTACTTTTCATATATACCAAAATTGCCATGCATTTATTGGAAATAATCACACGATAAATACTTTTGTGGGAAAGTATATTTAATGCTAAGATATTCGCTTACGGAAGAAGCTATGATCGGACATGACACTTAAGATTATTGAGACGTCTGACTGAACGGACGTGTTTGTGAAAGCAGAAGAGTGTAATCATGCGTGACGAACATTTTTTGTTCGAAAATGCTGGACTCGTAGTTTGTTTATTACTTCTGTGTGGAGATATCGAAACTAACCCGGGGCCAAATCCTAACCCCTCGTGTACACAGGGATCACCCTTTTTTTAGTGAAAACCAACCCCAGGGTTACTAGGGGACAATCGACATTGCCATTTGGTGATTCAAGAAGTGAAAAGTCGTCAGACATTGACATAGCTAAAAGTTTGGTGAACATTACACAAGCGCTCGGTGAAATTATGTCTCAACTGGATATGTTCAAATCTGAATTGGTAGATATAAAAATTGAACTTCAAACGATGATCGAAGTTAAAGAGAATCTGAGTGTTATCCAGAAGGAAAACAATGTGTTGAAGGAAAAACTAGAGAAACTGGAAGAAAATGCCAAGGTAAAGAATTTGATAGTTTTTGTGATGATTGAGGCAGAAAGGCAAACTGCAACCGAAACCGAAGCTCGAGTACGGTCGTTTCTGGATGATAAGCTTAGAGTAGAAGGGGCAGGCTGTGAGGATAAATTGCCCATAGATAGGTGCTTTAGGTTTGGACGTAAAGTAGCTGATAAATGTCGCCCAATCCTTGCCACAGTGTTATTACAAAAGCACAAGACAGCAATTTTAAATGCCTTTAAAACGTTCAGACAAAACAGTGAGAGCAGGAAAACTGAAGATTTTAGCTGTAGTGATTTCGTAACTTGACAGGTTTTCAACGTTCAGAGTAGGTTTGGCTCTCCCAAACTCAACCACATTGATGGGTTGCCTAAACTCGACTACCTATATGGATCGCCCAAACTCTTGTATAATCTTGGGGTGCACGTGCTGTTGGCCTATATAAGAGGGCTGATTAGCTGAAGTGGGGTGTGTTTTACTGCAGATTAGAAATGGTCGCCTGTCTGGCAGATCAGTGGATTTTATGGATATCCCGGTCGCTTATTTAGCAGACCGGGTGATTTTATATACTAGTATTTTATAGTGTTCTGATGGAGTTGTCGATTGGTAGATCTAAATAGCCCTTATATAACCTTCCTTGATTTCGCAAATCACTTCATTGGCGCTGCGAGCTTAAAATTTTAAAAGCGGGGGAAGGATAGGTTATTTATGATTAGGGATTATAATTTTGGGCTCCATAAGTATTTGTGTCACGTGAGCTTAGATCTAAATAGCCCTTATATAACCTTCCTTGATTTCGCAAATCACTTCATTGGCGCTGCGAGCTTAAAATTTTAAAAGCGGGGGAAGGATAGGTTATTTATGATTAGGGATTATAATTTTGGGCTCCATAAGTATTTGTGTCACGTGAGCAGTTAATGTGGTTATTTGAGGCTGTAAGGACCTGGTTGTACCTTTTTTGTATTACTTGACGTAAGCCACTCTTCAATTAATAAAATACAGGGTGTAGCTGAGAATTAATATAAGGATGGTTCTAATTTTATTATTGGGAATTTTGTATATTTTTAAGTTTTAAGCGAAACTTTCACGTCAAGTATAGAAAGATAGTGTTCGAAATAAACAGTAAAATTTGTTTAAAACCAGATTTGGGTCAACATTTTAAATGTGTACTTCCAATACCATATATTTTAGTGAGGTGTCAATGAACATTCGTCAGTGGCATAAGAGTGGTCCTTATCCTAAGTTACTATTTGAAAATACACATTTAAGCTTGAAATAACCTCGCACCAACTGCTCTTGCAACCTTTCGAAATTTTCGCCTGTAAGATAGTTGCAAATGGGGTTAAAATTTCAAGATCTTTGCACTCACTGGAATAATTCTCAGATAGTTTTCTTATCTTCGCCATTCTTGAGATTATTCCTTGGCACCGTCTTAATTCTCTTTTTTTTTTGCACCTTGTTATCTTGAATACTTGCATATACTTATGAAGGAAAGGATGTTTTTATGTAACTTTTGTCCGATCCATTTACATTGTGGTAATACAATATGTTTAAACCAAAGTGTTTTGCACATTGTCGTTCAACTCCCGTCAGAACACTAAACCAAAGTTTTTTGCATATTGTCGTTCAACTCCCGTCAGAACACTAGTCTTACTTATAGGTGACAGTCGTATGGCAAAGTCAAACTATATTTTTACCCTTTTGCCATCGTTCTCAGTTTTTATTTAAAAATATAACCCCCACTCGTAGGATAATCGTAGTCTAGAAAGTGCCACCAAGTTAGCCTTTTCTTCTCATGTTCACATGGTTTCCGGTGTTTTTTATGAGAACTCTGCAGTGGGGTTTAGGTTCAATTGACCAATCATAATGGTTCACTTTGAAAGGGGACAAGGTTGGTTTAATTTCTGGTCGTTTGTTCGGTGGGCGCCTTATGCTATATTTTGTTGTCATCGAAAGTATGGCTCTGTGCGATGAGACTTTGTTTATTTACTGGTATTTCATCTTGAGACTCATTCTAAATGGGCGGAGATTGGAGGTCTGAGTTTTGCTCGTATGGTAGTGTCGCCCGATGTGCATAAAGAGTTTTAAACCAGTCGCCCAAACTCATCGATTTGTCTACTTGCTTGGCGTTGGCGAGCCAATCAACTATCGCACACGTGCATGCTTCGACTATAAAACTGGGCGCGTATCATTGTCTGCGATATCACTTATGTGGAAGCAGACGTTAAACACCAAGAACTACTGCTGCTACTACTTCATCGGGGGAGTTTCGGTTAGTAACTCCCGAGGTAAGGTGACCTTATCATATGTAGGACACAGGCCGGTTGTCAGAGTCGATAATCGCCTCATATCAACCAGATTGTGTTGATTTTCATTTCTTTTGTGTTTGGGCTAGATTGTTTGAGCGCATTTCTTACTCTTAGATAGTGGTTCTGATTTGGGGGGAAAATATATAGTATAATTTGTATCTACTTCTCGCTTCGCTGTGGGGACCGCTGAATCGATCCACGTACTAAATAATATTGGGATTTGGTCACTTGATTCGTGAAGAATTCGGTGATTTCGTTTTTAATGGTGTTCTAGTAGTTTAGACATTGCGTTCTACTGCCAGGCACTGGAGAAATAGGCATTGTGGCCTTTTCACTTGATTCGTGAGGAAGAATTCGGTGATTTCGATTTTAATGGTGTTCTAGTAGTTTAGACATTGCGTTCTACTGTCGGACACTGGGAAATAGGCATTGCGGCCTTTTCACTTGATTCGTGAGGAAGAATTCGGTGATTTCGTTTTTGATAGTGGACTAACGGGCTGTACAGGATTGATGAATCGATTCACCACGGTGGGTTGGTTTATTCCGTAGTTTGAGAAATAGACTTTGGCGTATAGGTTTCATGATTTCTGTTTAGCGTTTCGGGCAAGTCAATCATTTGAGACATTGAGGGCACACGTCACATTTCCAGAGTCCATTGTTGTTTGGTTTATAATAGAGGGTGTCAAATTGTGTCTTGTTTGTTTCATGACATTGGCTGCCGCTGCATCCAGTGTCCGAACCCTGTCCTACTACACTCGGAATAGTCTTTTTAAACAACTTATTGCATTAGATTAATCAAATAGGTAGGGACTTAGATTGTTTCTATTTTATAATTGAAAATAATAGCCCCGTTCTGGGGTGACGCTGTTTCATTAAATAGGGTACAATCTTTATGCCGAGGAGTCAAACGGTTAGTTGGTAGTCAGTCAAATGATATCCGATTGTTGGATGGTTCCAGTCAAATGGTATTCAGTCCGATAATATTGTCGTCAGACGGTACTTTAGATTGTATGCAATGAGAGGGTATCTACTTGTCAGGCGGTGTTCTATTAGACCGAACATTTCTTGTTTCGAACCTGTCTTGTCTAGGTCTAAAATAGGGAATAAGATTATGGGCGTAGTTTTGCCCAGTGAGGAGGTGTTGGTTATTTGATAAAACATTTTAAAAAAAAATATGTAAAGGTTGATAGCCTCTGGTGTCCGAATCATCAATAGGTTTATTGATGTCACCGTCGTTGGCTGTGAAGGAAGAATCGTTAGTGGTAGCAATGTCAGAGTTGTTGGCTGTGTCGAAAGAGACTCGATGTAGTAGAAAGAATAGCGCCTGGTGTCCAAATCATCGGTGGTTGTGGGTTTAACGATCTCATCGTCGTTGACTGTACATGAAGAATCATCATCGGTGGGCTTGTCGATGTCACCGTCGTTGGCTGTGAAGGAAGAATTATTGGTGGTAGCAGAAGTTAACAACAATATAAGAGTTGTTAATAGTTG